TTCTACTCACTGCACATGACTTGAGTCACTCCCACACCATTTGGACCACAGCATTTTACCATTGGACCATAAACCCCTCACCCACACAACTTTTTACAATCCCCTCCGATGAACTTCCAAACATCTTTAACCATCAACTCGGGGATAGAAGACACCTTTGCCTACCCGGAACTACTCCTGACCACTATCTTTATGACATCCCTCAACTTGAGCCACCACCCAGTCCCGAACAACCACAAGAAGAGCCACGACCAGATCCCCAACCCCCTCAATACACCCCCTTTGAACAACAAATGCTGGCCGATATACAACAACTAAATCTTAACCAAACGGCAATGAACACACTCATTGACGATCTCTACAGTGCGTACCAAAGGGTGGAAGACGGTCAAAGACGGGCCTTCGGGCCTATGTATGCATATTTTGACCAGCAAGGGTACTTTTCCCACATGCCCACTCCAGTCCAACATCCTACATGGTATGACCCCTCACATTGGGGTAATTTCGGAGGATCTAGCTCTGGACGAGGTGGACAAGCTGGCGGTGATGGTGTTGACAGGGATTTCGGAGGTGGTGATGGCGGATATGGCGGCAGCTCAGACACAAACGATGATGAATACCCATATACAGGCGGATTTCATGACAGCTACTATGGTCAGGGTGGATTCTTTGATGGAGGAGATGCGGGCGGGCACTAGGGACAGTGCCATGAACTAGCTGGGGGGGAGAACTATTCTGGTATGCTCCCATTTCATACTCTTTATTCTTGCTATAAAAAAAATAGCTTGTTAGGTTGAAAACCCAAAAAGGGCAACTTAAGCAAAATAAAAGCAAAAAAGAAGAGTGAGTTGGGGAGAATTAAAAAGGAAAATGTGGGAAGCTGGGATGAAAACCCGAAAGGGCACCTAGGCAAAATGAGAGAATGAGAGAAAGTATTTCTTTTATATTTGCAGGATCCTAAGGGTACACATAAGGAGCAAAAGAAGAGGAACCCAATGATGCTGAAGACCTTTTATTCATGTGTTTTCATCATTGAAACATTCTTTTATGTTGATTTTCAAAAACACTTGTGAATGGTTGTAATTGCTACAATTGTTGGTTTGGAAACTTCATGGACATGATTTGTTTTACTCGAGACGAGTAAAAGTTCAAGTGCGGGGGTGTTTGATAGGCACTAGTTGTTAGTGCCTAAGTATACATTTTTATTATTGTTTGTAGTGTTTATTTACTAGTTTTGTGCAAGTTTATAGTTGTGAGTTTGCATTTGATTGTAATCATTTTTCTAGCATTTTATTGTTTGTTGTAAGTTGTAGTTAGTTTGGTTTTAAGTTTAGGATAGGTTTGGAAGCAAAAAGAATGAAGAAACCCGAGTTTTGTGCAAAAACCCGGTCGGGTATGGATTTTACCCGGCCGGGTATGAAGTGACAAAGGAAACTGCTGCAAACTAGCAAATACCCGATCGGGTATTCCATATACCCGGTCGGGTATTCTGTGATTTCAGACCAAAAGACATGCAGAAGATACAAAAACATGGGAAAATATTTGATTAGGTAAAAACCCGGTCGGGTATGTCAAAATACCCGGCCGGGTATCCGGCATTAGGTGTTGAAAACACCTATAAATAGCCCCATTTTCCTTCATATTTCATCATCACTTCTTCCAATCTCCTTAGCTCAGTTTAGAATAGCATTTCTTTATATTTTTCTAGCTATGTTTAGTCTCCAAATGAGGAGCTAAACTTCCATTCTTGGTTTTGCTCTTGAAGCTTGTTGATTATTAAAGTTGTGAGTTATTTTCTTAACTTCTTCTCTTGATTATTAATTCTTCCCTTAATCTCATTCTATATTAATGTTGGAGGGTTGCTAAGTGACGATTAGTTAACGTTCCGACATTAATTACTACTAGAAACGATCAACGAACCGATGGTTAATCGTTGGTGGTTTCACAAGTAAGTAACTTCGGTTTATTAATGCACGGTCGTGGTTAATAGACTTAAGAGGGATCAATTTTGTTAGTTAAACCGAAACCGTTGTGTTAAGGTTATCAATCTCAATTGATTTCATCAAGGAGTTAAAAATATTGAATGCTACTATTATATCGGTATAAGGCGTTGTTCTATATTTGATTAATAGTAAGGGTTATTAATGAACGGTCGTTGTTAATAACTACCCTCGATGAATTGGAGATACTCCTCGATTGAGTATTCGAGAGGGGATAAGTTATAGATATAACAAGGATCGACTAAAATATATCAACAAGTGGAAAGTAGCAAAGCCAAGTCCCTTTTATTCTTGAATTAAACACATATAGGTTGTTCATCTTAGTTTCTTAATTGAATTAAATCACTCAAAACCAAAACCCCCCTTTTAATTACTAGTTTCATAGAAAGAAAATCATTCCTTTCCATGTGGATACGAACTCTACTACGCTATACTACGTATAGGTGTTTAGTATTGAATTTATTTTGACGCACCGTGACAAAGTGCTCGTCACTTCCCGCCATGTCCTGGGATCGGGCGTCCCTGACGACCCGTGTGCGGACCGATGAGCGAGAATCTGCATTTTCGCCCGTACGCTCACCGAGCGTCTGCATCGAACGGAGAGGGGAGAACGGTGTACGCTCTTCATTTGCGGAATAATCGCGTTCTGCTTCCCGTTCGTCCGCCAAACATTGAATAAAGTCTGCCATTTCCCGCAGGACGTCCGGGTCCTGTCGAACCTCACTGGGGATCATATCGGTGAGCACCCCGAAGTCCCTGCGAGACCACGAACTGCTGGAGCGGGCCCCTACCGTCCGATCGCTGCTCCTCTTGCTGTGGGCCAGCCGTTCGGACAGTTCATGGGTGTTCCCCTCGTTGTTTCTTTCCATCTTACTTGTCTTAACTGTTTTTAGAGGTGCTTTTTAGCTGATAGCTTGGTTTTGGAAGAGCTTTTTGATCAGTTCCCACAGACGGCGCCAGTGTTGAAGTTTATTCCTTCAACCCGTAGGCTCAACACGTGTCCTAAGGGTTTCGAAAGGAAGAGTAAGAAGAAAAGATGAAGAAACAAGCGAGAAGAGGTCCAGTAAGAAGTCTTAGTACATTAAATTCGGTACAAAGGCCTGAGGCCGTTCGTCCCTAACATACAAGGCGTGAGGCCGTTCGTCCCTAGCCTATGATACGAGCTGTTACAATGTTATACTATTAGAGTGCTTCATTGTCAACCCTTCACAATGAAATAAATGCTTCTTTTTATACTGCTAATGGATAGTTGGGTGCACTGACGTGGCGGGCTGTGGACCGCTTGACCCCAACCACCAAACCTTGTACATTAAATGCGCTTCCCGCCAGGATCTTGGCTTCCTACCGAGGGCAGGGGACGTTCATCCCATGAGCTTGCCTCCCCCTCCTGCTGGGATCTTGGCATCAAGCCAAGGAGGGGATGTTCGTCCCACGAGCTTGCTCCCCTTCCTCCTGGGATCCAAGTCCTTCAAGACGAACGTCTTGTGCTGTGCCTAGCCAAGGGACCTGCCGATGCTAGGATACGTACATCCCCTTGACCTTTGTGTTGAAGCCTGACCCCGTATTAGGATACGTATGTCCCCTTGGTGTTGCTCCCAGGCCAAGGTACCATTAGACTATCGTACGTACGTCCCCTGGCCTTTTATGCTGAGCCTGGCTTTGTTGGGGATGAACCTCTGGAGAATCAGCGGAAATGTACTATGTTGCTTTGGGCCTTCCGAGGACATTCGTAGGATGCGCCTAAGGGTTTATGGGCCACCCCCGTTGGGCCATTAACCCAACATCAGGGTTCGATTAAACATCAACAATGACATTTTTCAGATTGAAGTGACGAGAACAATAATATGAATCTTTTAAATAAAATAACCAGAATTAACAACAAATTGAAAATCCAAAAGAAGAAGAAAATAGAAGAGTTGTAGAATATGAAAAGATGGGAGCTTGATAAAAAGTTAACAAAGGAGTAAAAGAAAAAAGATGAAGAAGAAGAAACTTACCTGGGCATATAGCAAAGTCATCCATCCGTCTTAGCGACTTTCATCACACCCAACGAATATTCATCGCAGAGCCATCCATCCGTTGCAGGAATTAAGGCTATTTTAATCCAAATTCAAATAATTAGTCCTATTTAGAGAGTTTAAAACAATATGTCCTGTTTTTGCAATTCCATCTACATCTAGTCCTAGTTAGGGAATTCTCTCTTAAATAATATACAAGATTTGGAGCAAATTTTTGATTGATTTCAATGGTACGTAGAAGAAGTGATGATTGTAAATTATCCCAATTTGTGACACAAAATTTTGATCTTCAACAGGAGGTATCAGTGGCTCATCCCCCTCCTAAACTATCCTCATGGAGTGAACGAGTTGCTTGGGAGGTGACGACTCAAGTAAGAGTTTGACAAACTACAACGTTTAGCTTGAATTAACTATATACGAAATTGTAAATGTATTCTATTTGATAACTTCTCTCATTTTTGTTTGTGCGCGTGTTTGTGTCAGTCCTTTGAAGTTTAGTTTTACTATGATCGGCGGTATTTATGTTTCTAATGACGCTAGTTGACTCGAAGTTTTCATGTGTTTAGCAAAGATTTTTACTTAATTTTAGGTAAACTTTTCTATGCATGATCACTGAATGATCGAGGGATCTTTTGATAATTATAAGTCTAGTGGGAGAGAATGATTAAATTGTCGACTTGGTGTAAGGTTTAAAGTTTTTATTGTATCAAAACATTTTCTAATTAATAAGCACTTCGCATATACAACCTCTGTCCCACAACATATCAAAACATTTTTATTGTATCAAAACATTATGGGTGCGTTTGTATATTGGCGGTTCCGTCAAAAAATAGAGGGTTTGACCGTTTTGGCTTTTTTGACTGGCAAAACCGCTTTTTTTTATGTTTGGTAAAACGGAGGGTCTCAATAGCGGATCACATGAAACCGCCAAAAACCAAAACGCTGGAAATTGGAGCGTTTAGGTTTCGGCGGTTGGGAATAAGGGCTAATTTCACTCATTTGCCCTCTCATCTTCCTAAACGTTTGTTCTCTTCGTTCGTGCTCTCTCTTCACCAGCTCTTTCTCTCGTTCGTTCGTGCTTTCTCTCCTCCCCTGCACTCTCAATGGTACGTATTGCTATTCTATCCTTCGTTTGTAAATCTTCTGAATTTGTTGTTTCTCGTATTTGTCTGCTACGTGCTTAAAAGGACCAAATTCAGCTTACGCATACTACGGCCTTTCTCCCACATGGAAATATGTCTGTTACGTAGTAAATGGAAGAAAGCATGAATTAGGCAAACTGTTATTTCTCTACGTCCTTTGAAAGTTGTGTTGTTTCTCGTATTTGTCTGCTACGTGTTGTTTGTGTTATTTGTCTATCCTTCGTTCGTGGTATTTGTTGTTTCTCGTATTTGTCTGCTACGTGTTGTTTCTCATATTTTTCGGCAACTGCCAGAGCTTCTTCTCCCTACGAATACTACATCCCACGCCTGCAGTGGCTTAGAGGATGCTACGGCCAGACTGATTAAATACTAGTTGCTGAAATAAGGAATTACTTAGGATGATACTTTGTTGTGTTTCTTTTTTGTGTAGAATGTGTCTTCTCTTGCTTATAATGTCAATAAAGCTGAATGTAGGAAAAGACCATCAGGATTATATATATCAAATAAAACATATGAAACAAATAAAGAATAGAGCAAATAAGATCTTACTTTTTCCCTGCCCATTTTGTCAGGTAGTAAAACATGAAAACAAAAACACTGTTGCTTAAAATAATAACTCAAAAGAGATTGTTGACCTTTAACCAACAATAGTTTTAACTACTTTTAAACAACTTTTTCATCCTTTAAAATTGGCTTTACGCCTTTACCCCCTTTTTCTCTACATAACTTTGTCCTTAACTATGAACTGATAAGACATCAAGGATAGAGAGATTGATTGAAAAAATATCTTTACCCTTTTTTAATTTATAGATGACCCTAACGCAGAAGATATTTGTAGAAGGAAGTCGAGGAACTCAAATGGAGAAGGATGAAAGTCATGGAGGGAGGGTTAATTGGACTAAAGAATTGCTTCATTTGTTTTGTGATCTTTGTATTCAATACGTAGAGATAAGTAAGGGAAAAAATGGTGGAATTGTTTCACAAAGGTTGATGTGGAAAAAAATTGAGTCGAAATTTAAGAGAAAAACTAACCTACCATGGGATAAAAACAAACTCAAAAATAAGATTGATTGGATGAGAGATAGATGGACTTTATGGAAGCAATTGAAGTCCAAAGCTACCGGATTAGGGTGGGATCACTTAAAGGGAACTATTGGGGCTACCGATGAATGGTGGACATTAAGAATTGAGGTTAGTATCATTTGATTTTAATTTATATTTTTTTATTTAGTTCGTATACTTAAAGTGAGGTAATTTGAAATTTTATGTATTTTTATTATAGGAAAATCCAAAGTTGGAACAATTTAGAAAAGAAGGAATTGAGCCAGAGCTTGAATGTAAATTTGAACAAATTTTTGGGAGTTATGCGAATGGGAATCTTAAGTACACCCCAGTATCTAGTATGCCACAACAAACTTTGCAAGATGGAGTTTGTGACATGCCTGTTCTGTCTCCACCTAATACCCATATTCCCCGTGTTAGTGTTGATGAGACACATGAGAACTACTACAAGGACAATAACTCTACAAGAAATGAGTCTTGGAATGATATGTGGAGAGATCTTAGCCCTAGCCCTACCTCTTCTCATGTAGCTCCCCATGATGATACTTATATAGAAAGGGACATCACAAAAAAGGGTAAGAGAGTTTTGGAGGGCGACTCGTCTCAAAACACTAAGAATGCAAAAGCAAAAAAAAGTGCGGCTTCAACTTTTCAGGAAATGTTTAGTGGTATGATGCAACAATTTGAAATGAGAAATAAAGTTGTTGAGGAAGTTGCTACTTCAGTGAAGAACATGACTAATGCGAATATGAGTGTTCTGAATTCAATGGATGCCCATACGTCAAAGTATAGTATTGAAGATGCTATGGCAAAGTTGTGTTGTTTACCTGATCTTGATCCACTTGCTCCCGAGTTTTTGTTTGCTTGCTCACTTTTGGAGGATCCCCAAAAGAGGACTATTTTGTTCAACTTACCGCATGATGAGAGCCGAGTTGCCTATATTCGGTTCATGTATATTGAGCACAAGAAAAGTGTGACCATTTAGACGTTTAGACATTTAAAATTTCTTAAGTTGAACATTTAAAACTTCTTGTGAACTTCTTTTTGTTATGTGATCTAAACATATTTTAAGCATTTCTGTGACATTTATGTTGTCATCATTATAACTTTAATTTTAAATGTTTACCTTTATATTATAAATATTTGATTGTAGGTGTTCATGGCTAATTACGACATGCGAAGTAGACAATTCCTTCTCCTATTTCAGCAACAGTACATCTTATGCCAACAATACTTTGAAATAGAGAGTGAAAATCTAGACATGATGACTTCTATGGCAGCATATATGTGTGACTACTATTTTAAAAACTTATACAAGGAACCGTGCATGACGTCTTATTTGACAGGAGAAAGATGGATGGATGAGATATTAAATGGCCATGGAAAACGATGTTTTAATGCGTTTAGAATGACTCAAAATACATTTCGCAATTTATGTGCGGATTTAGAGACCAAGTATGGTTTGAGGCCCTCAAGTAGGGTTTCAGTTTTGGAGAAAGTGGGTTTGTTCGTTTATGTACTAAGTAAGAGTGCTTCCAATAGAGATACCCAAGAACGTTTCCAACATTCGGGTGAAACTGTGAGTAGAATTTTCAAAGAAGTTTTGAATGCCATGGATGAACTTTGTCGTGACATACTCGTCCCAAAGGACCCCGACTTCAAACGAATTCCCTCACAAATTGCCAATGATGATAGATATATGCCACATTTCAAGGTAAATACCAAAAGTGATTAAACATGATAATATATTATGAAGTGAGAATATTAATATAATCATATTTATTGAATTATTATATTGAATTTTTATATTAGGATTGTATTGGAGCTATTGATGGTACACACATTGTAATAACCGTACCTGAGGAAGATCAAATACGCTATCGAGGAAGAAAGGGAATACCAACCACAAATGTTCTAACAGTTTGTGACTTTGATTTGCTATTCACATATGTTCTAACAGGATGGGAGGGATCAGCACATGATTCACGCATATTCTTAGACACATTGAACAATTCAAACCTTAATTTTCCAAATCCACCTCCCGGTATCTCACTAATTTTTTTTTTACATAGCATATATCATTTAATTTACAATTTTAATTTTACCTATACTTGTTGCTTTTATTTTCTTAGGAAAGTATTACTTGGTTGACAAAGGCTATCCAGAAAGATATGGATACTTGACTCCGTACCCTAAGACACGATACCATCAATCAGAGTTTCGTGGATCAAGACCAAGAGGTTCACGAGAAGTATTTAATCGAGCACATTCATCCTTAAGAAGTTGTATTGAGAGAGCGTTTGGTGTTCTTAAGGCTCGCTGGAAGATATTACAAAAAATGCCAAATTATTCATTGGTGGATCAAAACAGAATTATATGTTCATGTTTTGCATTACACAACTACATAAGAAAAAGCAAACTTGATCCGGCTTTTGATTTCATTGATGAAGATCCTGAATTTATACCCCCTGACGTTATTCCAGATGTTCAAGCTAGTACTACACAAGTTGATGATGGAATGAGAAATCATCAGATGACGATCATTCGTGATAGCATTGCTTCTAGTTTGATGTCATAGGGATTTTATTCTTAATATTACAAATATTGCAATTCACCGTATTACTTTTTTAAGAATTGTATTACTTCTTAATATTGTGTAGTTAATTGATGCATTTTATTGTCATAATTTTATCTAGTTAATTTTAAAATAATTTACTCGTATATATTATGTACATATAAATTAGTATAGTCATAACTTCGTATTAAACAAAACAAAAAAACATGCAAAATTATTAAAATGTCCTTTTTTGTCTTTTTACATATTATCCGCTACAAGCAAACAGCTAAGTTACCAAACATCTTTCTGCAACCCGTCAAGCAAATCCGCTGGTCAAATCCGTTGATCCAATCCGCCATTTACTACCCGCTAACCAAATCCGCTAACCGCTAACCGCTGAGTGCCAAACATGGCCAGTTTGAGAAGGTAAATCGATCTGATTAACTTGATAAGCAAAAGTTAGAAAATAGTTATCGGCTCAAATAAGCACTTCGCATATACTACCTCTGTCCCACAAAATTCTTCCTACTTTGACTTGGCACGCATATTAAGAAAGTGGAATAAAGTGGAAATGTGTGGTTGTGTAAGAAAAAGGTGAAATGAATGTGAACCACACAAATTGTCCAAAAATGGTAAATGTGAAGAATTTTTTGGGACGACCTAAAAAGGAAAGTGGGAAGAATTTTATGGGACGGAGGGAGTACGTATTATTCTTATAGTTTGTTTAATTACAAGAGTTTTTTTCTGGATTAATGTTAATTAATTAAATAATTACGGAATTAATGCTGAGTTAAAACTATTTTCCAATATACTACTGGGCTTAACTCTCGTCGGGGAAAGTCACCAAACCGTTTGGCGACTTCCCCCTGCACATAAACTTCGCAGGATGACTTTAGACAGAAAGAACGAGTGCAACAACCAAAACTGCTCTGACAAAGATCAATTTCAGCAGCCAAATCCGACGACTACAGCGACTAGAAGGCTATTCCACCTATAAAAGATACTCCTCAACCATCTTCTTCAACCTCTTACACTCTAGGTAAATCAAATCCCCAACTTCATCTCATCTTTGAACTTAGGGTTTGCGATCGATAATTTTCAAATTTGTAAATTAGGAATTCATTTGTGAATTGATTTGTTGTGAAATGTGAATATGTATGAAATGCTAAATTTTAATCTTGAATTCAATGTAATTTGTTGATTTTGTTGTGCATTTGTTGTGTAATGTGAATTTAAAAATGTAAGATTTTGATATTTTTTTGTTAAACCACTTATTATTTTTATTTTTTTAAGTGTGGTACATGTAATAAGATATTCGTAAGTATGAGAGTTTATAAATATGTTTTATGTCTATGAAATGTTTTTTGGTAGCCATGGAGTTATGATAAGTCCATATATAGACACGCATTTGATGCATGTTGGGATCGACTTGTGATGGTTTTCCTAGCTTTAAGGTGTTACAAGTCTCAATTTTAACTCAAGTTATGTTTACCGGGCGGTTCAAGTTTTATGTCTTTTGGAGTCAAAATCAGGGAATTTGAGCCCAGCACCGGCGCTTGAGAAGCGATCGGAACGATTTGAGAAGCATTCGAGAGTGAATTGAGAGATTCGGAGGTCACCGGGAGGTTCATGATGAAGATTTGATGACAAAAGACTCTAGGATTGGCTACGGGGTCAAAAGAAGACAAATAGAGCTTGAAAACGGCGTTCAGGATGATAGTCTGTCAATCGTTCAAGCATATCTCTCTGTAGAAGCATCCAAAGGAAACGGTTCAAGTTTCATCTAAAAGCCAACTTCAAGGGCTACAAATCATATGAAGACCCAATTGCGAGAATCTGAGAGGAAGAAGGTGAAAACAGACGATGAAGTCAGATGATCTCTGTTACGATTTCAGAATGAGACCTTCCACCATTTTATTCATATCTCTTGATTGGATGATCAAATCCAATTAGGCAAGTTGTGGTGGATAGAGAACTTCATTAACTACAACTTTGATGAATGAGATTTTGTCAAATTCGGATTAGAGAATAGGTGAAAAACAGGCCACGCACGACCGTGCCTGAAGGGACGCACGATCATACGTGATAGAGAAATTCGCGTGGAGCTACTGGAAGCCAGGCACGATCGTGCCTGGCACGGTAAGCACGATCGTGCCTACCCCCGTGTTACGCGAAAAATTGTCTAGTTCGACCAAAATTCCGATTTCCCCCCTTTTTCTATAAATAAGGCCTCCATACCCCTTTTTAAGGGTTACGAACATTACGGAGAGGCCTAAGGACGAATTTACTTGCGGTTTTACATTGTTTTCTTCAAGAACCCTGAGATTATTTGTAAGCTCATTCTTTTTAATTAATGACAATTATTTCTATTCATTCCAATTCTGTTGATTCTTCAATTATGAGTTGTGAGTAGTCTTAATTAGGGATTTGGGATTGAGGAAGGGGTCAATCACGATGTATGACTAGTTTCTTGATGGTTTAAATTACATGAATGTGTTGAATTTGTGTTTGAATGATTTAAGTGATATCTTTTGTAACCTAGAACTGCAGCTAGAATTACAATTGCTTGTAGAATAAATTAAGAGAGATCTAGTTTATTCTAAGACACCTTCACACACACTTAATCACTCACTAAGAGATTAGTAACAATTAAGGAGCCGTAAGCTCGCTCATCTTGGAAATAATTTAGGAACCTATCGCATGAGAGTTCAACCCGGTCCCCTAAATTACTGTACTCTACGTCGCGAGAGCGGTAAGAGCTTAGTAATGATTAGCTAGGCTCAATTAAATTAATTTCATATAATTAAGCCTGATCAGCCAGAAATCTGGTTACCCCGGAATCAATCCATGTTCCCTTTGTTGTTAATTAGAGAGAAACCAACCTTTTATTTTAATCGCTCATCCGCATTAGTTTAATTTCAATTCAACCAACCAATCTCGCATGATGCATTTATTTTATTTATTTTTAATCGCTGAATTTAATTAATTCTTGATTCCTTTTTTTCTATCCCTGTGGAGACGATACTCATACTTACACCACTATATTACGATCTATTTTAAGTGCGAGAAAAAACTCACATCAAGTTGTCAGTGGATCCAGAGCTGAGTGGTCGATCTGTCCTGACATTGCAGGCCACACATAGGACCGAGGATGTGTGGCGTGGCCTCGATGTGCAGGTTGATAGGTGTCGAGAGCACCTCCGTAGTTTGTCCCACGTGCAGGTGGATGATAGAGTATTAACATATGTTAGAGCAACAGGTTTTTATGGTGTTCACAGATTGGTGGCTAGTGTCCCACTTGATAGAGCGCTACTCACTGCTCTTCTTGAGCGTTGGAGGCAGGAGACACAAACATTTCACCTACCAGTTGGTGAGGTTACAATGACCTTGGGGTATGTGGCTGTATTGATGGGGTTACAGGTCCATGGGAGAGCAGTTACATGTACTGCGTGTCGGCCATGGGTTGAGGATGTTGAGCGCTTGTTGGGTCTTTTCCCACTTCTTCGGACAGAGATTCATGGGTCATATCTAAAGATGTCATGGCTCAGGGAGCATTTTGCTATTCTTCATCCGGACGCTGATGAGGTGATGATTCAACAGCATGCACGCACATACATTTTGATGCTTATGGGAGCTTCCATTTTTTATGACATGAGTGGGAATGACGTTCATGTGCTACACTTAACGATATTAGAGAGGTTTGATATAGCTGCACACTTCAGTTGGGGTAGTGCCATGTTGGCTTATTTGTATAGGCAGTTGTGTCGCGGTTGTCAGAGTGGGAGCACGAAGGTTGGGGGTTTCTGCTTCTATGGCAGATTTGGTCATGGGAGTACATTCACATTGGCCGTCCCATTATAGTACGATACCATGGGCTTGATGGAGAACCACTTCATGATCAGCCTCCACATATTCTTGGACCACATCATCGACGGGGCGAGGACTCATTGGGGCGTCAGTATGTTTTACTCGATTATATTTATGTTACTTTAAGTATAATATAGTTGTATTAATTATAATTGTATTAATATATACTACATGAATGGTTAGATGGGTATTTGCTAACCTCTGTCGCACATCATCGGCTTCTAGTCTCGATTTCTACAGAGATGCATTTGATCGCATGTCTGATGATCAGGTACGGTGTATATAACTCATATTGTTATGGTTTCATATCATTAATTATGTTTTTCATATCATAATATAACATTAACTATGATATGAATAAGATTAAGACTAATTTTTATCCTTATGAAAAAGATTACATGGATGCCATATACAACTCAGATGTTAGAGGAGTTACCCTCGTCACGACGAGAGCATTATGCTATATGGAGAGCACGTGTGTCGTTGATATGCTTTGTTATTGTTGAGCTTCATTTTCCTGATCGTGTTATGCGGCAGTTTGGCTATGATCAGGTCATTCGAGTACCTGTCGACACATTTGTAGATCTTCATAAGCTGGATAGGCGTGGGAAGCCTACAGAGGATTGGTCGCTCAGACATGCCCGATACGTGGCTATATGGGATAGGCGAGCGGAGCTTGTTGTGACTGGGATGCTGACATTTGTCCCAACTGTTTCTATAGACTATATGAGATGGTATTACAGCATCACGCGGGTGTTTGTATCTCCATCTTTCACACTCCCTACTCACCATTATCAGCCTAGTTCCATGCATTTGCACTTGACGGTAGGTGAGTGTGCTCATAATTATTAAAGTAGGGGTTAATTATCAAAATAGGACTAAAAGTCACTCACTTTGCACAAATAGGACCCAAAACTAAACTATGTTTTCATAGGACTAATTATGTGTGTCTTGGACAAATATACCCTTCTAGCTATTGAAATGTTTTAATTCATAATAAAATAATAAAAAATAATAAAAATTCTTAAAAAATGCTAAAAAACTAATAAAAATATTTCGATAATAATAATTAATTAATTTATTTTTTTCAAAAAATAAAAAAAATAATTTTTTTAAAAAAAAATAAAAAACTCAAAAAAATAAAATAAAATTCACCGCCGCCTCTGCACCACCACCTCCAGTCACCGGGAAAAAATGCCAAGTTCATTACGAATGCCATATTTATGGCAGAAAATAATGA